ATAAACACCAGTCTTTACAGATACGAAAGAGTACTGATATCAACTGACAATTTCTGTCCAGTTTAAATAAAAGTTGGGGGTCAAAGTCGAAGTTCAAGTTTTATTATGGGAAATACTTACAAGCGGTTGCTTTTCTTGTTCATAGGGTTTAGCACAAATGGATAGATTTATGGTTCATAGAAAGATGAGGAATGTCACAGTTATCTTTGTTTCGTGCTACGGATGTTGAAATTTAAGAGTTTTATCCAGGTTGTGCTTAAAAGAATCAATTGTGGGCGCAGAAACAATGTGGATTGGTAGAGAATTCAAAATAGTGCACATTCTGAAGGCGAATGAATGACGCAGGCACATTGGTTTAATCGCCGTCATCGGTGTGCTTTAGACCTTGTGATACGAGGTTCGAGCCCCGCCACCCAACTTTAGTGGTAGGCAGCCTTGCTGTCGCCCGGTTCTATACCACGCCTAACCTATCGAGACCTAATGTGGTTCGCCACTCCAAGTCCCACAGGGCTTAGGTTACCGGTTTCCATCTCTGGACAGTACGTTTTCGTGACTATGGGGTCCGCCCCGTCTGCTGCTAATCGCACACTGGGGTGTAATAAAAAATATTCTAGTCGACATTTTGGGAGCACTAATTTGAACGAGTGCCCCCTGAAGTGAGCGTTAAGCAACAAGGCGAACAGTGGACGACATGGGTGATCAGGGTTCTGCATTATTTGTTACACAGAGTGACTCATCACAATGCAACAATCGATTCCATGACTTCGGATAATAAGGGGAGGGAAGTAACGGGGCGATAGTTAGCTGGGTTACTACGACAGCCACCCTTGTTTATTGGAGAAATTACTCCTTGTTTCCATGTTTGTGGGAGCACAGCTTTGTCGAATAGTTCACTTAATGGTTGAGCTATGTTGCTATCCAGGTTGATACGGGTTTGTGAATGGATACTGTCTATCCCTGGAGATAAATTCTTTTTCAAACACTGCAGTTTGGATGCTATGATTTCTGCGGGAAAATCAATTGTGATGAGCGTTGCGTATGGTGAATCCTCAAGTAACAGGCAGTCGTAGTTCAGTGTTCGCAGGTGCGGTGAACACTTGAGCGTACTGCTTTTTAACATTTCAGCTGCCTCCTTTGTTGTGACTGAAACACGTTCTACCCATCTTAGCGCTAGAACGCCAGACTTGACATGTCACGAGGTATTTATGTGTTTGTACAGCAGCTTCGCATTGGATATAAACTTGCGCATCAGCATTTCTTGGTACGTAAACTTGTCTTCTCGCGTCAACCTGGTGCACTGGTTTCGAAGCAGACAGTAGGTATTCAGTTCAGTTCAGTTTGAACAACCATGAATCATTCACTTCCATGCATCACTTTTGGTTGCTGTCCATTTGGATGAACAATAGAAGAAAAACAATAGGTTGAAAGTAGGATTGAAGAGAAAATTGAGAAGTTCAGTGGAAGAATGTTTCAAGGCAATGGAGAAGGTGTATGAACACCACTGTTTACGATACCCAGCCATGTT